CTGACTGGCGGAACGGACGGGGGAGGGGTCGGGTAGAGCTGGCTCTGCCTCTAGGTAGGCAGAGCCAGCTGTCACTCACGCAGCTGGGCGGATCCCGTCATCTAAGTCGGGATCCGCTCCGGCTGCGGCGTCTCAGTATACCGCGAGCTGTTGCTCGCGGTATACTGAGCTTAGGGTAACGGGAGGACGCTAGTTTGTGTCCTCCCGTTACCCTAAGGAGAACTATGGGGAAAAACACTGACCCCATAGTTCTCCTTTAATTTAAAATATGCTGCCTGAGAGCAGACGCAAGATGCCCGTTATTGCCTCTTCCGCGCTCCTCCTCTTATATTTATTGTGTGGCTGGTGCCTGACTTTTTCTGACTTGAGGGCTAAGCACCAATTGCCACCCCTCTGTCCAATAAGAATGTCTTCAGGTACTGATGCAGTCTCACTAAACAATGGAATGATAGATTGTTGGGCTCATCTTTGCCTAATCTTTTTTGTCTTATTTCCAGATCCTATTAAGAACTTGAATAAAAAAAACTTTATGGCGCTCCATCTTTTTTTCTACTCCTAGAGGGGGAATTTATCAAAACTGGAGCAGAGAGAATCTGGAGCAGCTGTGCATGGCAACCAATCAGCCAGATTCTGCCTGCTCCAGTTTTGATAAATTCCCCTTATAGACTTTATCCCATAGATCTAGTTTGGAGAGAGCTCAGTGAGCTGTCTGGATCCAACAATTAAATGTTGAAACACAAGGTTGAAATACTAATGCAGAGTCCAGCACCCCACCACTCCTTTACTACAAATAGGTGACACTGGGGGAGTGTTTCTGTCAGTCCTTCCAGCACTCTGTATTTATCTAATTTTGGCAAGCTATGCTGCCTTTAGGCATATTTTGTGCACAGACCAGTAAATAGGAGTTGCACATATAATGTTGAAGCCGCCGTATAACATGATGATGCTGGTGAAACTAATGACTATGTAGACAAAGACAATACATTACACATAGCCAGTGAATATTATTGCTCCTTTTGAAATAGTTTTATCCTCTTCTTCTTTTTTTTTTTCTCATCACCCCTCTAGTCACATTCTTTCTTGTGCAACCTCCTACTTTTGCTCCGGAATATGGGGGTATTGCTGCAGGGGGTGCTATTTAAACCAGAGAACTGCCTACATTTTTTGCATAATCAGATTCAGAACTGTTCCAGAGATTAGGTAGACATGTAGGTTCACTGCATGCTAGGATAAAAGCTTGAGCCAGTAATGGACGGTTCCTGTTTAAATGCAAAATATTTTATTAGGTTGAAAACATATGCTAAAATCAATGCGAAACTGTCAACATAAAAGACTATTTTGACTTTCCTGAAGCTGGATTTTGACAGTGCTTACATTTTATACGATAATGGCCCAGAGGTGTGTTTTTAATCAGCTTTCGTAGAACTTTTTTTTGTCTGTTGCATCTGTTTTTGTACATATTTTTTATACAGTGCACTGACCCGGCACACTGTGAGCAGCCTGCAGCCACATCTTTTCCTATTACTGCATGTCTAAGCAGAGACATTACATTTGTCATCAGCACACCAGTCCTTTTAGGATAGCAAAAGCATCATTTATTGAAGTTTTTTTGTCATATGACCAACAAGAGCTTTCGGGACTGCACAGGGTCCCTTCATCAGGTTTTAGCATTGACCGAGCATTAATTTTGCTGACATTCGCGGGGCTATCCGCAGTCACTGCGAGCACCCCCCCACTACAAGGGACATATCGGTAAGGAGTGCGACAAGGATAGTACTTATTACATTTGTCATGGCACAAATTCTCTCTAGCAGCAAACATTCGAGTTTTATGTAAGTAAAGGACACCAAACCTAAACTCTAGCAAAAATATCTGCACTGGGGCTGTCCCAAATCTGGATTGCTTTTGCTCGAAAATGATGCTGTGGAGTGGTGGTAGCCCATCTGACTGACACTAGACCAGTAATGCACTTCTTGGGTTTTTGGACCACTGATGTGTCTTTCCACATTGTCATCTTTTTTGTCGTGAAGGACCCTCAGTTTATCAAAGAGATGACAGAGGTTCACAGACAACTGATGGCTAGTAAGGTTGGTGGAAGAGTGAGACCTCAAGAACGCACTTCACACTTTAAGGTCATCCCAAAATATTTTTTTCAATGGTAAAGATTTTGTAGTAGGAATAGAATGTTGAAATGCTTTTGTCTCTTTACTGTAGTCTGCAATATATTTTCAGCAGTTTAGAAAACGTGTGGCTTCATGAACTTACATACTGAAAATGTTCTCTTCTTTTTTCTAGGAAGAAGAAATGACCAAATCAAGACTTAGGAAGACAGAAAAATTGACCAAAGTAAAGGATGCCAAGAAAGCTCTAAAGAAGCAGTTCAAAGTGAACACAAAAATAGTTTTTGCAGATGATGGAGTGGTGAGTTCAGGCTGTTGGGTACTTGTATGTCTGCATTTTATGGATAGACCGCTGGAGGACGACGGTATATGGTAATCCTGGAGCTTGGGATATGGATCCCAAGGGCAGCAGGCTGAGTGGACCAGCTCAGATTTGTCCCAGTGTAAAGCCTAACTACTGGTTTGAGAAAACAGGGGTCATTTTTAAAGTTGTATGCCCCCCACAACCCTGGGCTGAGCCTGCTCAGTGCAAGGGGGAGGCGATTGGTCAGAATGGAGTTTCCCACCAAAAATATTTTTTTGCCTCCGTAAATGCCTTTTATAGGCAGGAGGGGGAAGTTTGTCAAGAGGTTTTTCTTTAGGTTCTTTGCTGGTTCAAACATGCATATACTGCTAGCTCTCATCTAATGTCTGTAGCCAGCTTAAGTTTCAGACATAAGTTCCTCCTGGAGGATTCAAGGACTTTACTAATTAACTGGAATATATAATCCCTCTAGTACAATGTTTTTCCTTGAGTACTTCCAATGTGTCATGTTTTGATCTGTAGGTCTAGTTTTGGCCTGTCCCTTACCACACCTATAACCACTTGGTGTAATGGTCAGTCTAACCAGTAAAGAGGTATGGCAGTGGGCAGGTTAGGCCCTGTTCACACCTGCGAATGGGGCCAATCACATGAGTCTCAAGAATTCCTCAGTGAGACTCATGCATTCTGCTGCAGGCAGGAAGTTCTGGACAATGTACCATACAATGACAGCTGCCACTGTGTGCAGCTGTTTGCAGCCTGTTATGTAATGGAACATACAGCGAATACCTACACCTGGACGCAGACTGTTTGCAGAGGAGTTTGTGAGATCTGTGCAATTGGGGGTGTGAATGGGGCCTTAGAACATGACCTTCCTAGTTATATTAGAACGTGACCTTCATATCTGAGTGCTGCAGTTGTTGGGACTCTAGAACAGTGTTGTTGAAATGGAGTTCTGAGAACCATTGTGGAGCAGTGTCAGTATATTTACCTCAAGGTTGTCAAAAAAGGCAAAAAGTTGCCTTTGCCTACAAACCTCCTATTCCTTGCAGCCAAGAAAGAAAGGTGCCATTTTAGCTTTCATTTGGATGAAGTTGCCATGATGCTGCACATGTTATCAGCTATGACACCAGCCACTTGAGGGCTTGAAAGTTGAGAGCGGAAACAAGCACACTGGCAGTTGCCTTAATAGTAGTTGTATTGGGAGACATTCAATTAGTGGTTAAAATTCCTCTAACAATCTTTCCCCCTCCCAATACTCAGCTTCCTCTTGCAACTTGCTCCCCCCGCTCTTTGTCTGCGGGAGCCCTCAGAAATAGCCCCGTACATCCAGGTATGGCAGAACATGGGACTTTCTTCACTTCCTTCTGGGATTCAGTGCCCAGTCCTGAGTGACAAGTCACCAGGCCTGAACACTATCACGTTAGCAAGGGGGCAAAGTCCACACCCTGTGCAAGCTCTAACACTGACCAACACAGAACGTTTCTTAGCAGGAGATACAGCTAGGAAACTAACACTTTCACAAGATGGCCAGCAAAACCAGCCTAAATTTTTGTCTTGGAGCAAATTTTAACAAGGAAGAGTAACACATTGCGATAAAGAAAACCTGCTTGTGTATATATAACTGTACTATTCTAATTCTAACCCTAAATAAATCATTTATCGCACAAATTATCAACAATAATATCTGCATTCTGACTCGCTGTTACAGGAGGCAGAGCGGGCGGATAGAGGAGGAGAGCTCGGTCTCCTTTGACAGCTGGCTCCTCCCCCGCAACTCTGGCTCTGCCTCCTGTGACAGCTCACAGCGGTCTCCGCCCCCCATACCGCTCTCCATCCTGATCTGTCACAGGTGGCTGAGCGGGGCAGGAGAAGAGCTCGGCCTCCTTTGACAGATCAGGATTGGGGACGATGACAGCGCTCTTCTCCCCGCCCCACTCGGCCTTCTGACAGGTTCTCTCCTCCTAGCTGGATGCTGTGCTGTGTCAGAGCTGTTGTAGAGCAGTGCCCACCTGGGAAGAGAGTAACGAAAAATGCATCGCAATTTCGTTGGTATAGTCGGCATTTTGCCCAAAGTGCCATTTTTAGCCAAAATTTCGATGCATCCCTACTAAATATATCATTTAGGCAGTAGCTCTGCACTGACACCTCTTCACATTAAAAAGCTTGCATGTATTTTAAGCAATTCAGCTCAGTACAGCTTAATTCAACCCCCTTTGCTGAATTGGCCCTGTTGTTCAGAAATACACCACCAAGCACCTCTGTTTAAAGCCCACATTCCTTGCCTTAACATAACTTAATGTTGATATTTCAGAATAGATCCCCCTTGCACAGACCACAAATTAATCTGGGCATTTAGTTAAAGATATGAGCTAAATTACCTATTAGCAGTCCTCCCAGCTTCAAAAACCGAGACAACTGTTAGATTGTTTGCAGATCTAAAAAGCTCTTCCGGTGGAAACTATTGAAAGGTTTTTGTATTCATCGGAGTTCCTATTAATCCTATGTCTTGTTGTCGTCATCTACTTTTAAAATGTCACAGATCTTTCTTGAGTGTTTCATGAAAGAATGTGAATATATTCCTTGCCTTGTCCATTTCAATGACAGTTTGATGTCTGTGTTATACTAGCTTTAATAGCTGTTATATAAAGCCATTAACATGGAATTCTAGTAGTGCTTTTTGTTTGTTAAAGCAAGAATGTGCATTGGTTTTTTTTCTAATTCGCAGAAATCCATGAGAAAGTATTTATACTTCAAAGCTTTATTTTTGAAAAATGGTTCTAAGTGTTAATATCAAACTATTGTAACATGCCCATGGCTGTGTGTCTGGAAGCCAGAAGAGATAAAAATGTAATAGAATTGGCCCCAAACCAAAAACATTTTATTGCTCTGTACAAGGCAGATGGGTTTGCTAATGCAACGAGGTTTGCAGAAAGGTAATAGCTTTTCCCAGGGGGAGAGTCTGGTATCTCAAGTTTTACTTTACTTTATAAAAAAAAAAAAAAAAGTGAAG